AAGATTTGGAGGTGCAGTCCCCATACTGGCAGTAGAAAATGTGGATATGTTTTTATTGCTTTCATGCACAGTAGTAGAAGCAGTTACTACACTAGGAGAAGGATTATTAAAGTTAGGTACAGTAGTAGGTAAGTTAACCCTTCCACTCATTCCAGAACTAGGTGGTGGTCCCGACCTGCTAGCATTTGCTGGTGGCATATCTAGATTGGCAGTTTCAAAACGCCTACGACTCAGTTCTATCATGTTCTGCATTTCAGTTTTACTGCTCAGCAATAACGTTACTTTTGACCCTTTAATTGTACCACCTGTGCGCATCATACCAAGCCTTGCATCTTCATCAGTGGCAAAAACGATGAAAGCCTCACCCAGTTCACCCCCTACAATATGCACGCCCCCATCAGGAATGGTCAATCCAGAGAAGAAGTGGCGAATGTCCATGGTCCCCGCCACAATCGGGAGACCTTGCAAGCGGATGACCACAGCCATGCTGCGCTGAAACAACACACACCTGCAGATGAGAAAAGGCAACGGCTATGTCAGACTACTGTTTATGACACCATGCAATTACCTACAGACACCATCTACTATATTTGTTTACATACACCTAACAATATCTTGCAAAGATTAAGCATGTTTATATTCCAAGTTCCTTATTCGTGTTTGTTTACTTCAGAGTGAAGTATTAAAACATTTACCAACACAATCAGTATACATTTTGCACTAGAAATTCCAAAATAACTGTTAAACTAAGACCCACATGTGTCAGTAAAAAAAACCCCAAAACTAAGAAACAGCAAAAATCAGAACTATTATATCAGTAGTTGAATATTTAATGGAACATAAGCAAAATGAGTATTTTAGCCAAGCAAACAAAATTAATTTACCATACACTGATATGGTATCCACTGTACCTGGCAAAGTGACTGTGAAAAATTCTGCACACCTAGGGAAATAAACAGTTCTCTTTCATTTGGGGGGATGGGGGGTGAGGGTGGGGGGTGGGGGTGGGTGGGAATTTCATCTCCTGCCAGGTGAAAACAACTAGGAATGTAACAGTTGGTTATGAACAAAAAACCATTATGGACAACTAGCAACAGTGAGACTCACACGACATCCTAACAGAGACCATCTAGATTATACTTATATTTTTCTCCTAGCAAAGGCAAGAGGTCAAGCCAACCATGAAGTTAACCAACTGCTATAAACTAGCCCAAGACATTTTGCATATCCTAGCCAGATATTTGGCCCTCACAACTTTCAAAAACAAGGTATAATTTTTTAATAGTTGCAGGTGTTCTGTCTAATATTACACCTTCCGTCTCAGGCACAAGTAAGTGACCTTTACCTCTGCAGCTGAGGTTAGTGGAAGCTTAAGATAAATTTTGAACAGTTGACAGTTACCTTGTACGCATACTACAGAGGAGCCTGAGGTCATACCAGAAGCTCAAGATGAACAGGAAACTAGGTAATTCTCACTTATTCTTGACAAACTTTCAGTAAAGACTGAAAGCATCATGTTAATGCTAGCAAAATTCACCAGTTCAGAAGACAGCCTCTCATCCTAAACCATCAGCAGTAGCACCTTGTTTCACCTGAGCCACTTCATCTCTGAAACTTCCCAAGTACAAGCCATTTCAGTATCTGTATGGAAGACCTCCAAGGCTCCCATTAGTCACATACAAATGGTGTTAACTAAGCATTTGAAATCAAGGATGAACCAGATGATACAATGCAACACCAAGAGGCAGCGCACCAAAGACTTCTGGCCGTATACCAAAGCTATGACCAACTATAATCAGTATCTATCTCCCATTTCACATTCAGCTAAATATTGTATCCCAGCATACAGTCAAATCTTTAAGTCAGCTGCATTTGCCTGTCGAGGTCTTCCAATCACTTTAGAGTAGACACACGTTGAATACATCCTTAGCTACCAGATAAAGCCACCATCCAACAATTTAACCACGCCAGGTAAGGCTGAATTGAGTACTTAATGAAAACAAAAGTAACAATTCTTCTACAGGGAAAAAAAGAAGTAATTATTTTGTTTGCATGATGGAACTTCACATTACTCAAATGGGTACTTATGTATTTTGTTTTGTTGCCCAATAAACCACAGCTAACCCCTTCCATACACTAATGAACTCACACAACATACTGGGGTACTACAGGGCATTGGTCCACATCCAGTTGACAGCAGAGAAGTGCAGAGGACCCTTCTTCCTCAAGGAAACAGCAGACAATCCCATTGGCACAAAATTAGCTCTGCTGCTCTAGCCACTGTGAATGAGTGTCCAATTCCTTACTACACCATCTTGAAAGAGAGACTGGAACTTGCAAGACAAACATGAGAACATCTAAAAAAATCTTAGTTGTACACACCACTAAGAAAACCACTCCTCCACCAAGGGATGGCAGCAACAGAAAGGGGAATATACACTAAGCGCCTCAGGGACTACGTTTTTTTTAAAAGCAACTTTCCCATCTCCACGGCGAGGTAACAAAAGCAACATCCTTGCATTTATCACTTAGGGTGACACTTACATTTAACTTGAGAATAAAGCTCATTGCCCAATCATTTTCCAACAGCAAAATAACTGGCCCATGTAGAAAAAAAAACAAACAACAGGTCAAAGTAAGAACTATCTATGCTATGTACATATCTAAGAAAGCATGTAAGACTTTTTGCACTGTTTTAAAACAGCAGTATTTTTCAATGATTCTATAGTTTTAAGTTTGCCTAACATTGATAGCTATCCCTGAAGCTAAAGTTAAAATGAAAATTCTGCCTACTTTAAGGAAGCCATACTAAAGGGTATTGTAAAACCAAAGTTTACTACATTATGCTACAGGATTGCTTTTGAATAAGATGATCCTGAGGCAAGCAAGTAGGTTAAAAGCATCCCTGGGTTTACACCTATGCTTTGAAAACTAAAACACTATTAATAGCAAATCTTGCTAGGAGGTTTACATTTTCTCTATTAACTGTTATACAAAGAAATGAGTTTCAAAAATTTTTATGCATCAGCAGCGAAGACATTTGAAGTTCCTAGTGTTAAATGGGAGATTACTTTTATTTCCTTACTAAAAGGGATGATGACCTGACTTGGCCATTAGTTGAACAAAGACAAATTGGGAAGGTTTTTCTGCTCAGATCTGCTGGTTTAGAACATCATATATTCTCTATCAGAACTGACACCTGCTAGATAACTACATTTACTAATGATTCCATGAATCTAGCCCAGAAGACAAATTAACAGATAAGGTCGCAAAAGAATTCTTAAGAGTTCAAGCATTTAACATTTACATAACTTTTGGGATAATGCAAGTGTTTCAATCTTGCACTAAATTCAGAACTTCATTATAAATGCTAAGAGATATCTTGAAGTTTTGTTACTAAGTATTCTATTTAGGTCCACTAAATCACTATTGACAAACCCAAACAGCTGCTTAGGCATATAGTTGCTAGAAAAACTAGCTGCAATGAGTTCACCGTAGTTATTTCCATGCATGACATTAAGCAAATGCCTGCTATTAAGCAAGAGCTAACAGTAGCATGGCATGAATAAAAAGAATTTTAAGGACTTTAGTCCATCAAATGTTTTTGGCAAAAGAATAGAACAGAACTGCTTCAGTTTTTTCAGGATTTCAGTGTTTTAACAAAGTATTAGTTTTGCTGCTGTGATTTAAAGAAAAATCACAAGGACCAAAAGGGCCAAATTTCACATTTCTAAACAACCAGAAACCTGATTTTTTTTCTAAAATGCACTTACGAGACGATAACCCACTCACTCAAATTTTCCAACTAATGAAAAAGCAAAGCCTGCTCAAGTATTTCACTGTTCACTTGTAAAGATCAACATACACGCAGAGGCAACATTAACTTCAGACAGAACCGGCTACATGCCTGTTAAGCATGCACTGAAGGCTTTCTGTTGGGCCGTTAGAGGTGTTCTCAGGCTGCCTGCTTTTCCCCCTGTACAAAAAGGTACTTCAAGGCAAAAGTGGTTTTTGTTGTCATGTTGTATGTTTGGTATATTTTTTGAGAGACCGGAAGCACAAAATCCTAGAGTTGTACTATGGACAATCCATCCCCATTAACAAGCTGAGATCAAAAATGGAGAGTAAACGGCTGCCAACAATCAATCTGATTCAACTCATTTGATGAGCCTTAACAGCATGTTTATGTCTTGACAGTAAGGTCTTTAAAAATGTTGATGTTACACTGGAAAAAGGTATACAAGATGACAATATTAGTACTTCCATCTATGTACTCGTCAGTAAAATAAGAATTTGGGTCATATGCATAAATTGATAGAAACGCCAGAGTAGCCTTTTAAGATATACACATTTTTCAAATTAAGAGAAGCTCAGAAGATTCAACCTAGTCCCTGGGGAATATGAAAGTACAATACCCACGCGGTACAAACACAAATACAATGTATTTGGCAATTATTGGATGAAGACTAAGAACTGGAATAACACTGATATTGTAGGAGGAATTTTAAGTATCCAGGCTATCTAGCAAAAGCTAAAACTGCAGACTACAATTTTGCTTTTTCTTCTTCAAAGGCTAAAATCAACCTGTTAGATTAAGATAGTCATCTCTGAGCTAATTTGAAACTATCTGATCCCTTTAAATGCTGCAAAAACTAATTAGAACCAATTGCTGCACACTTCTAAACTCCGATAGTTAGAAACATGCAGACCTGTGGCCTGCAGCAAAGCAGCTGCATTTTCCAACAGTGCAAAATAACTGGGAGAGCGTTCCAGACTACCACATGCTGATGAAACGACAAAACATTAGTTTGGCAGAAAATTCTGTTTACAAGAACAACATTGTCAGAACCACCATCACCAGTGGGAGTCAAAGTAAAGAGACTAGCGATACATTATTTGACCCAAGTGTTTTGACACCAATTCACAGATTCCAAAAGCTTCAAATATTTAAGATAGACTCAATATGCATATAAAGAAGTCTTCAATTCAAATGCTCTTACCTGCAAAGACAGATGTTTTTTTCTTAACAAGTAGCAGAAGCCAAGCCAATCCTGTGGGCAACCAATTAAAACCAACTTTTAGACTGCAATAAAGAATAAATGGAGGCACAAATCAATGCAGGCAACACAACAGCAGTAACAGTCCACAAAGAACTGTATATATAGAAAGTTCAAACCTGCGACCACCACAAGGCACTGCAACATTACAACAACCAGAGTGCATTTTCTAATACCTTATCCCTGTATGACCTGTTGGCAATTGCACTGCAGGTTTCATATGGTTTCAAGACATGAATATGCCTTCCACAAAGAATATAAAAAGAACCAGAAAACATTCAAAGAAACTTTCAAATTTTCCCATCACCAATAGATGAACAAATCACTCTTTCAAAAGCAAAGGAAGATAATTAAATACTTGAAAACCCTGAATTTTAACAAACCCTTACTCCATCAATAATGATATTCCTTCCTCCAACTGCACATCTTACTTGAACAGAACAACATAAGCTGCACCTCTGAAAACCTCCCTATTGCTGCATGTGAAGAATTCTTCATGAGTCACACAAACTGGTGAAACTAAGTGACATTTCGCAGCCACCTCTAAGCAATCACCTCTACAGAGCACACAGCAAGAACTCCCCACCGAGACACTGTATTTTCAGTTGTACTCTGTCATTTCATTATCCAAATCCTGATCAATACCCATTTTTTTCATCCCTGTATAAAAATTGTCTCCCTAGGATTACAACTCAACAAAAGAGCCAAACATTTTAAGTGGCAACATATGTATTTTGTATTTAAAGAAGGGACAGAAGACCCTTGCTCCTTCATTGCTTAGTAGACCATCTCATACTGAAATTGTGATTCTTTGGAAAACTATCCAGGAATGAATCAGACTAAGAACAGATAACTGCCGCCTCCTCACACAACCCAAACAAGCCATTTTTGGTTATAAGCATGATTACCAAAGTGAACTTAAAGTACTATCAAACCATCCACAAACTCCCTAATGGGGAATTAAAACAAACACAGATAATTCACAGATTTTCCAGGACATTAACAGCAGACTTAGAAGTGAGAAAGATACAACTACGCTCTTCAGACTTATATTAAAATGGCAAATGCATTTAGAAGACCACCTTTTATTTTATTAGACCTTTAAGAGAAACAAGCGATCCTATATTAGCAGGATTCAACTATATACTTTCATATCTAGCAGTGTCAAAACAGTAGTTTACAACGCAGAAAAGAATGTAACTGCCTGAAAAACAGTTTCATGTAGAAACACACCTGCTTCAAGAAGCAGATAAATCTTTTGTGCGCAAGGAACTTCCCATTTGGAAGAAAAACCCAAATCATTTGATGTATTTCCAGTATAGCAACCACAGCGTTGCATATGCTTCTCTTCACAACACTGAAAACAAGCTGAAGATTTGCAGCGGACTAAGACAAGATGCTACAATGTGAAACAACATAAACAAAACCAAGCAGCATTCTTCAGAAAAGGTGCAAAACTCCACTCTCCTATGTTTCACCTTTCCACCAAACACCATCTACTTTTGTTTGCCAACAAATTCTCTCAACTTTTAAGAAAACCACCCATCACTCTTGTAGGTAAAGGCATCCTTTCCAATCAACCTGATGCCCAACAGCACATCAACTAGGCAAACAATGGTTAGAGCACAGGTGCTCCCACACAACGCTGAGACCACACCTCTGGGACTTCATGGGAGAGACTCTCCATAACACCCTATCAGCTATACAGAAAGAACCACTATCCACTGGACACAAAACAGCCGATGAAACAACCTTAAGAGAAGTCCACCAAGGAAACAACCTGCTGATTTTTTCTGCCTAACCCCAGCAGATCGAGGTGGGTAAGAAAAATCACTAAGAAAAATGGACAAGTTTACGAGTGAGTAAAACAAGAGCCAAGAGTTGTTTCGAAAGAAAGACTCCCAGAGTGCTTCCAGGACCCACTTCAACACTAGTTTGTTTTGGTTTTTTGGTGGTTTTTTTGTTGTTGTTGCTTCGGGGGTGGTTTTTTGGGTTTTTTTTGGGGGGGGGGGGGTTTTTGTTTGTTTGTTTACAGAGCTCGTTTTTATTAGTGGAGAAGAGCATTACGTTACTGCACGGCAACTTAACTGGTGTTTAGAGGGTAACCCCAGCAAGCGACGGCAGCGCCGCAGGCACCAGAGACCTTCCCCTCAAAGTCCGGAGCGCCTGCCTCGCTTCGTTCCGCGGGGCCGGGCGAGGAGCAGCGGCCGCCGCCCCGCCG